AAGGAAGGAAGCAAGGAAGGAAGCAAGGAAGGAAGCAAGGAAGGAAGCAAGGAAGGAAGCAAGGAAGGAAGGAAGGAAGGAAGGAAGGGTGGAAGATGAAACAGAGGAAGCAATACAGAACAGCACCTACTCGGAAGCCATGAATAAGGCCTGAAGGACACTGTTCACGTAGCATGTGTTACCCAAGTTGATTAAGCCAATCTTGCCCGTGTCAGACTTGGCCATGAGCCGAGGATAGAAGCCAGCCAGTTCGCTCTTCTGTGAGGTCCAGGCATCCTGCCCCAGCAGCTGCTTAATTCGGTCCTCATTGGGAATGTGGAGGTCCTGAGGAGGGAACAGTAGACACCAGTGGTAGCTTTAGAGCGGACTTCCTCCAGGAAATCTTCCCAGAACCCACTCCCCCACTCCCTCCCAAGCACACACTCAGAAGAGTCTAGAAAAGGTGTCTGCAGCCCCTGCTTACAACTCACTCTAGGGTCTCATTCTGATACGTGGGCCTTCTATGTGATCTTTCAGGTGACATCTGAAGGAGTAATTCCCATCTCAGAGACCAAAAAAAAAACTAGGATTTGCCAGGCGGTGCTGGCACACGCCTTTAATCACAGCACTGGGAGGCAGAGACAGGTGGATCTCTGTGAGTTCAAGGCCAGCCTGGTCTATAGGATAGGCTCCAAAGCTACACAAAGAAACCCTGTCTCGAGGGGGAAAAAAAAAAAACCCAACTAGGATTCAGCAGAACATTGAACTGTGTAGTAGCATAAACAGTAAGTGACAAAACACGTTTGCTCTGGGCAGAGCTCAGGGGCGACACTCTAAGCCGTGACAACACTGGCTATCCAGATCTAGCGATGCTGAGACCTCAGTTCCAGCCCTCACTCTTGCCTTGGTAGATGTGAGTGCTTAGTAAGTCTCTCTGATTCAGTCTGGTGACCTTCAGTCTCCTGGGCTGCCGAGAGAAGACACCCTTCTCCCATCGGTCGGTCACTCTATGCTGTCACAGTGATGACCTCACTCTGACTCCCAGTTTGAGATTACAGAGCCAGCTTTCAGGCAAATCAGTCACTCCCTGGCACTGGTCCTGCGACCTCGGTAAGAGGGTCGGAGGCCCTGAGGTCGTCCTTTGTCACAGGCCCAAGGCTCGGCATGCCTACCCCGGCTATCTCTGTCACACTCAATAGCTGCACCAAGAGGTGTCTGGCCCCAGTTCTAACAACAGCAGAGACAAACATCTACACACAGCACCCTGCTCTAGCGTGGATGTCAAGGCATTCCCAACAGTTCCCCTAACTGCAGCCATCCGTGTGAGTCAGGTTTCCTATGGCTGTAACGAAACACCGTGACCAAAAGCAACTTGGGGAAGAAATGGTTTATTTGGCTCACACCTCATAGTGGCTTACACATCATAGTCCATCACTGAAGGAAGTCAGGACAGGAACTCAAGCAGGGCAGGAACCTGAAGGCAGGAGCTGATGCAGAGGCCATGGAGGAGTGCTGTTTACTGGCTTGCTCCCTGTGGCTTGCTCAGCCTGCTTTCTTATAGGACCCAGAACCACCAGCCCAGGGATGGCCCCACCCACAATGGGATGGGTCCTCCCACATCAATCACTAATTAAGAAAATGCCCTACAGGTTTGCCTACAGCTGGATCCTCTGAAGATATTTTCTCAATTGAGGTTCCTTCCTCTCTGATGGCATGTTGTCTTAGGGTTTTATTGCTGTAAAGAGACATCATGACCATGGCAACTCTGATAAAGGAAAACATTCAGCTGGAGCCGGCTTACAGTTTCAGAGGTTTAGTCCATTATCATCATGGTGAGAAACATGGTGGGAAGTATGTAGGCAGACATGGTGCTGGAGAGGTAGCTGAGAGTTCTAGATCTGCAGACAGCAGCAGGAGAGACTGCTATATGGGGCGTGGCTTGAGCATGTATTGACAACTCACAGGCTGCCTTTGCAGTGACACACTTCCTCCAAAAAGGCCCTACCTACTCCAACAAGGCCACACCTACTCCAACAAGGCTACACCTCCTAATAGTGCCACTCCCTCTGGGCCAAGCACTCAAACACATGAGTCTATGGGGGCCATGCCTATTCAAACCACCACACTTGGGTCAAGTTGACATGAAATGAGCCAGCACATCCTTCCAGCTCCCAAGCACAAAGCCCTAGATCAAAGGCAACAGGGCTTTGCATTAGCTCACACTTTAGCAATGGCAAGGGGTCTTTGACCACACTGTGCCTAACTCTTGCTTGGTCCTTTCCCAGGATCATTTTTCTGGTACTCCAGTTACCTCTCACAGATGATAGTTTTTAAACAGAAAAAAGGTTTGCTAGGCGGTGGTGGCGCACGACTTTAATCCCAGCACTCGGGAGGCAGAGGCAAGCGGATCTCTGTGAGTTCGAGGCCAGCCTGGTCTCCAAAGCGAGTTCCAGGAAAGGCACAAAGCTACAAAGAGAAACCCTGTCTCGAGAGAAAAAAAGAAGAAGAAGAAGTGAGCAGTCCACAGTCTCTTATTCTCTGCATGGAACCCAGTGGGGTTCATCTACTGCAAGAAGGAGCTTCTGTGATGGAAGTTGAGGGTGCACTAATTAATGGGTATAGCAATAAATTGTTACTGTTAATTGTCGGGGTTGGGGATTTAGCTCAGTGGTAGAGCGCTTCCCTAGCACAAGGCCCTGGGTTCAGGCCTCAGCTCCGGAAAAAAAATAAAAATAAAAATTTAAAAAAAAAGAAAGAAAGAAAAAGCTTCCTGTCATCCCAGCCACATGGGTAGTTGCTGAAGGAAGACTACAAGTCCAAAGCTAGCCTGGACAACTCAGATCTACTGAACAAAGAGTGACTCTGCCTGGATTCAAGCCTTTCTGATGTCCCCTGCACACCACTGACATATTGCCAAACTAGACTCCCCTTCCCCACCTGTGCGCCCGTCCCATGACCTAATGGTCAAGGTCAAACGCCTATCCTCCACTCTAGCAGGCTTTTCAGGAAGTTCCCACCACCCACTACCACTGTTGTATATACCTCTGCCTTAATTGCACATGGCCTTTTAAAGAGGCTAGAGTATATAGGTTAGGGAGGATTGGGGGGGGGGGCTCTACGCATATGGCCTTGAAGAGAGGCTAGAGTATACAGGTTATGTAAGATGGGGGGGGGAGCTCTACCTATATGGCCACGGGGAAGCCCTCATCCCTGCTGGGTAAAGACTTTCCTGGTAGAGCCTACAGGAGGCAGAGGATCACCCACGCCCTGTCAGTCGCCCTCACCTATGCCCTGTAAGGAGGCCTATAAACTCACTGGTTCCCAGGTGTGAACTTGGCAGAACGGGACCTGGGTTTGTCAATAGCTTTTGGCTCCTGGGAAGGATGTTTACCACACTAATTTCTAAATAAACTCATCTACAATACAACCTTATAGTTCTGGCTTGTTTTGTGTCTACCAGACAACCCTTGGGTACTATGAGTTTACAAATACTTTTAAAATCAATAACTGCACTGAGAGCAATACCCCCCACCACCACCACCTGGTCTAAATTTCAACCCCTAAACCTGGTGATTACAAATTCCTTTTTTTCCCCCCTAGTCTAGAGTCTACATCAAGCCAGAAAAATTTTCCCAATTTCTGCTTTGGACCACATGTGTATTTTTTTTCTAGACCATTCTTTTTTATCAACACTAAAGCCTTTTTGTTGGCTTTCAAGGGGCTTCACAGTACCACTCCATGGTGGGGATTCATCATGGCTTGTCAACACCAGTCCAAGCCTCTCTGTGTTTGAAGTTGGCCATGTTACTGAGCTTTCTACCCTGCCCTCAAGGCATCATCCTCGAGGGGCCCCTCACCATTTGGGAACTCGGTTTTCTATTCCTTTGGGGCTCCCTGGAGATTTCCCCTCACTTTTTTGCAAGATCAGCTCTGTACTTTAAAGGATGTCTGCTATGGGGCTGGAGAGATGACTCACCAGTTAAAAGCACTAGCTGCTCTTGCAAGGGCTGAAAGCAGTTCCCACATTCACAGCAGGACATGGCTCACAACTACCTGTCATTCCAGCTCTAGGGGATCTGATGCCCTCTTCTGGCCTCTTTATACACACACACACACACACACACACACACACACACACACACACACACACAGTTTAAAAGTAAATCCTTTTAAAAGACGTCTCTCTGTCTCAACACACATGCCCAGATGTTCTGTAGAGAAGTGGCCCAGGCATCAGGTCTGCTGTGCTGTGGGAGTGAAGCATCACATCAGAGGCTCTGAAAGAGGCCTTCACCTCCACTTGGACCCTCTCCCTGTATCAGTGGTCCTTAGATGAGACTTCCTGTAAGCAGATCTATTGCCCCAAAGGGCTTCAAAAGCTCCTCCAGGAAGACATCTTGGTTTGCTTTGTGCCTGGGTCCCCAGAGCCCAACCTCAGCTTGGCTGAGGGCAGGACACCAGCCTGGTCCTGTTAGCCAGGCATCTGGAGTGCTCAGGAGCCACGGAGAGGCCCTGGGGAGCCCTGCTGAGCCCTGGGGAAGGAAGGGAGGTGGACACTGACAGCCAGGGAAGGCTCACTGAAAGCAGTCTTCAAGACCACATTCAATGGTAGGTGCTGTGACCCATTATCTTGCCTGCTAACTAAAAAACAGGAAAATTCAAATAGATATAAAGCAGGAGCTATGGCTCCGGTGGAGGAAGGGGTTAACACAGGGACCAGCCCACACAAAGGCCCGGGGCACACATGAGAAAAGACCCCAGTGGGAGCCGTGGAGACCTCCATGCTCCTGAGGCACACAATGGCCCCAGAGAGGAAACAGCAGGGGTTCAGATGGTGGAGGCTGCTACCAAGCCAAGGTATAGCCTCAAAGGCGGCCCAAACGGGCTCACTTGTCAAAGAGGCCGTCCACTCACCTTAATGGCTTCCATGACAGGCTCATACAGGTCTGGGAAGCCTGGGAACCGAAACACCATGCAGTGCACCAGCTCTGCCAGCTGCTCCAGACAGCTGGTCCCAGAGTTCGAGTCCTCCTTCACCAGAGAGGCCACCATGGGAGGAATGTGAGGGAGAAGCTACAAGAGAGAAGGAGGGTTAGCTCGGGTGCCAGGCTACCCAGCTGAGGCCTGGACTGAAAAGAGGAGCTTCTGCGGATTGAAGGTACACTCATGTGACCAACGTCCTCCTCCACTAGGTAGAGCTGAGTTCCATGGGAAGTAATTTTCCTTATAAGACCTATGATCTAAGACTCGCTGCCTCAGTCTCTTTATCTGCAAAGCAAGATATATAATTCCTTCCTCACAGCTGTGAGGTGGCCAGCTGTTCAGCCTCACCCAACCAACCTTCCCTAAGAGCCACAGGCCTCTCTGGCCCACAGCAGATGCTCAGGCCGGGTCAGCCATCTGGGTGAGCTGAGCAGCATGAGCACCTTGTTTGTGTTTATATGGCGGGGGACACACACACACACACACACACACACACACACACACACACACCTGATGGTGCTGGAGACAGTACCAGAGCCCAGTGTGTGCCAGGCAAGAGTGCCACCACTGAGCTACACCCCCTGGCCCAGATAAGCTGTGTAACCTGTCAGGATTTCATGGTGGGTTACAGAAGGTGGTGTCTGAATCAGGTCCATCTCAGTCCAAAGCCCATTCAGTTCCCCAGCATTAGGGAGTTTCAATCAAACCCCTTAGGGTATTATATCCCAATGTCATAATGGATAGCTGGGCCACAGGAGCACAGGACACTGGTCACATGTTTATATATGGCAGGCTCTAAACACGTATCACCTCATTCCTCTCCCATCCTTGGGGTTTACTGCCATTCCAAATTAAGGTCGCCACAGTGACACTTGTCCCCATCCCTGGTTCTGATCTTTTTTCATTTCAACAAACTGGAAAGCACAGGGTTAACTGCTGTGTCCAATGTGAGGGCCTCAGAGAAGGGGCCCCTCCCTGAAGAGAGCCTGGAGGACAGGAAGAGGAGCCCGAGCTAGAGGCCAGGCCAATGAGTGCTGGTGGGTAACAAGAGGGACAGGTGCTTGGGAGTCAGACCCACTCGGCCGCGGGAACCTCCCTGTCCACCTGCTGTGGGGACCAGCGACTTGCTAACCCTCTCCCCCATGCCGTTTCTTTATCTCCAGAAGGAAGGCCTGTCTGGACACCAGGTGAGTGAGCATCTGTAGCACCATGCCTGACACCTGACCCTGAAGAGCTGTAGCTGTCCCTGAGCCAGGCTCTGTCATTCTACAGTGTGCTCGTGGGAGTCACACGTCCTCTGGCTTCCATCTCCCATCTCTACCACAGGGCTTAAGCCTCCCGTGCTAAGAAAGATGGAGATTTTGCTTCAAAAGCCCCAACTCCCTGACTCCCCGCAGAAAACCGTGTTGGGTCTCGGGCAGGTCAGAGAGAGCGGGGCCCTTACCAGGTGGAAGGCCTCGTGGGAGTGCTGGAAAGTCAGGAGCATGTACTTGAGGACAGACAGGGCGGCCCCCCGAACGATGGGATACAGGAGCTTAGAGAAGACCTGAAAAAGAGTTCGTGTCAGGGGCCCCCAGACCTGAGCCACTCCCCAAAGCCCAGCGCGGCCACCGTGGACCCTGAAAGGGAAGCGGAGACACAGAGCAGTGGAAGCAGCGGGCTGACGATGAAGCAAGAGCAGAGACAGAGACGGGCCTCGCGGCTGGATGGAGCAGCACGTGACAGACCGGGCAGCCGGGGTTAGTGAGTGACAGGTGGGTGGGCAGACACCTGCCCTGGAAGAAGGGTCAGAGTAACGGAGCTGGAATCTCAGGCCCGGAGAGGAGCAGTGAATTAGCCCCGTCACATGGGGAGCTTGGTTGGGACCCCAGGCCCCTGCATCCCACACTTGCACTGCTCCCAGAAGAGACCAGTGGGAAGGGCCACAGGCCGGGGTTCGGACAGGGGCCACCAACCTTCTCAATTTTGGCGAGCGAAACCTCGATCAAGATGCTGAACTTCTTAACGGCAGCCAGGCCCTTGAGAAGGGCAATGATCCACTTGTCAATGTTCTTCCCCAGGGGCCAGGACACCCAGTCGATCATCCTGGTGAGGGCAGTGACCATGACACAGGGACAAGGGAGGCCCCGAAGCCAGAGAAGGGCAGCCCAGGGGCTGGCCATGAAGTCCTGACTCACACCTGCAGGGGCACTTGGGTCTTGGGACTAACAGGACACTCCTTCAAAGGCAAATGAGCCCAGAGACACACCCAGCAGAAGCGGCTCACAGTCCTCCAGCAGGAAGGCAGGCCCTTCTCCCACTGTACCAATTACAGGACTTCAGGCTATCCTGGCAAAGAGCTCCACCCTGGGGCTGAGACCTCTGGCTCCATCAAGTCCCTGCTGGGGACCAGGGCAAAGCGCTTCCCCTCTCTGAGCCTGGACTTCATCTGCAAATGGAGACAGCCCCCCCTCCTGAGAACTATCACATTAAGAGGGCAGTGTCCACCAACACCAGGCCCGTGTGGATTGCGCATGGGGCGGGTATGTGGTAATGCTCAGGAAAAGAGCACCACTCAAATACTGAACTGACTGGGCCACAAGGAGGAGAATAATAGTACTTAGGAAAGTTCCCATGGTGCTGTCCTACACCTCACATGGCGGCTCACTTTCACCTACTCCCCAACATATTCTCTGATGGGCCCAATGGCGACCACTTTAGAGCTGAGGAGACTAT